TGATGTTTTGAACTCGTTCCGATGTTTCTTGAGTGAATAGTGAATTTCTTAATATTAGATGAAAACAGCGTGCATACCCTAATTTTCGTAAAACTGACTTTTCGGTTGATTATTAAAATTTTTTCTCAAAACAAATATTGCCGCGAGACTCAGCATGGTCGATTACCCATAGTCCATTCGTCCTCAAGGCTACCAATAGTCACCGGATGCCAGTCCTGGGACTCGAAGGAAATCCGATACAACGCCTGAACCGAGGAAAATCAAGGTCTCACTTCACTCCCATTTTGAAGAGAACACCCCGGCCTATCAGTCTATGAAAGAAAAGCAAAATAATCTTATTGGAAAATTTTTATAGACAGCCTGGTTTCTCAAAGATTTCCTAGGAAACCTGTGTCAGAAAACTGTCCTGAAAACAGTGTTGGTTATGAAAACATGCCTCCAAGTCTCCTTTTTCGAACGCCGAAAATCGGAGCTCTCTAGCTCTTTTCTATCAAAAGTTACTGTTGAATTAGAAGCACATGTCCGCCTGCTCTAGCAAAACTTGCCCACTGTGAGGGGGGCTTAAGAAATCATTAGATGAATCTAATTGATCAATAAAATGGCGATTTTGTTGGATACACTGGTTAGCATGATAAAGGTACATTTAGGCATGTTCCAGTTAACTGTAAACCTGTAACTGTCATAACTGTAGACAATATTTCTAGAGTGGGTTAGTCTTTTACGATTTGCATACATTTTAAGAACAGAGACATCCTTAAAATGTATGCAAATCGTAGAAGACCAACTCATTTTAGACATATTGTCTACAGTTATGACAGTTACAGTTTTCACAGTTACAGTTAATCGGTAAAAAACTGTAACTGATGCATACCTAGGTACACTCAGAATTTCTTTGCAAAGAAGCACTATGCAAAACAAGAAAACTGTTGTCAAAAATTTCATTTATTTATCGTATTCAATGTCTTGATCATTTGTTGCTCGTAAGTTCAAATTTATTATCACACACAGGATTCAGATTTTTTATTCGAAACCTTTTTTTATTATATTTTTCTTTATCAAACCGTACAATACCCATGCAACCTACTATGATCCTCATTCGTTAGAACCCTAATTTTTTTGCTAATTCATTAGTTCTTGCATTTAGAATGCAAGATAATTTAAAATTTTGACTTTTTCTTATTATGATCAAGCATTAAAAGGCTTGTGTGAATGAGTCAGATGCAGCAGTACTGTTTCACCTGAAGACAAATCTCATCATGACAAAGAGAGAAAAGAAAAACACAATGATATTCAAGCTTTTCTCTTTTTATCCTACAACGTTTTTAAAATCTATATAAACGATATTAATCTTTAATTTGGGATAAAATCATTTTTCACAGCGCTAAAAAAGCATTAAACATGAAACAGCAAGTTTTTGTTTTCGTTGTTGCTTTAACCGTCCTTCTTACCAAATATTGTCACTCTCACTCGGAACAGCAGCCAAAAGGTTTTCCAAAACAATTTGTTGCTATATTAAATCAGACATCCTATTTAAGTTGGAAAGATTCTAATGCACCAGAACAATTAATTTATGATTCCGTTAATCAACGTGCACGATTTGATATAAAAGGTTGGAGAGCTAAACAAAATGAAACATATATGATACAATATAAACCAAACGGAGCTGAACATGGAGCAGTAAGTAATGTTAGATGGGTAGAAAGCGGCCAAGTCAAAGCTCTTTAACTACTACGCTTACTTGTTTCTCGATGACGTGCCTACCAGTCAAACTTTTGGTAGAATTTCGGAAGTAAGGCTGTTGCGGAAGTTTTTTCACAGTTCGATGTCCTAAACTCTCTTTTGTCAGAACACCGAAAAATTCAGTAGAGCGTTATCGCTTTTCTTTCAAACGTAATTCAAGAACCAATAATACATCGTTTAATTATCTTCTTTGTTTTAGCCGGCATCAGAAGGTTATACATTGTTTAACTTTAATCCTGATTATCCAGAACTGACCAAAGTAAGCCTTAGTTACCAAACTTAAAAATGGAACCAGCTTTTTCTTTAAGGGTAATTGTTGGTATAATACCCGCCCAATAAACGATTTCGGTGCATTTCCATATACATGGATCACTGTTGGCGGTGATATTGATATAAAACCATGGTTTCCATTACCAGATAATTTAGTTTATAAAGGTGCTGAATGGATTCCAGAATTAAAAATTGATGCACTTGTAAGTCTATATAAGAAGCATATCACTCTGTCAGGGTCAGACATTGCTGTGGATTCTCTAGAGATATGATTCATCTGACATATGTGATTTAAAACAAAGTGATATTGGTAAAGTACCATGTTTAAGCTATTTTGAAAGAAATAATGGCACACCAGTTAAAACAATACAAGCAAGAGCAGCAGTCGGCTCATTTGATAGTGACGAGTAAGTAATTACCACAGAGAAATACACTCGAGATGGGTCAAACTCTGGGTCTAATTTAGAAGTTTAGTCTTTCACACGGATCAGAGGTCGGCCACTCGAGACACTTACAAAAATTGACAGTTTAAAGCAAACTTTCGTAGTAAGAAGTATAGTCACTGTACTTCTGACTATGAAACTCAGAAAGTTAGAGTCTTACGCTCTGAGTTTTTGCTACTAACTATCCTGATAAATAGCTTTAGAAAACCGAAAAACATGCAAAATTGCATACGTCGTCTTTATTTCGTGTCGGCCAGGGCAGAGCCCAATCACCAGAAAACACCTTGCGTTGTTCTCCGGAGACTATAAGAACGGTTTTAGAATTTTGAATATTTTTTATGCCAAGAAAAACCATTGAGCACTATGACAGAAAACGTTGTTGATCGAAAGATCGGTCTCAAAATGCCAAGTTCCTTCCTGATTTGTTCTAAAGGGTTCCCTCGTCGCCAGCGGCATTAGTGGAACCTAATAATTTGCTGTAAAGCCATAGATACATCAGAAGATCCTCTCCCCTAACAGAAGACCTCCCTCGAGTTAGCGAAGCAAAAGACAGATTTGAAGAAGTCCTTAAAAAATGTTGGCTTTATGAGAATGTTTGCAGTTTTATTATTTTTGCACTTCTCTGAATATGCATTTCTGTAGTTGAAGCGCAATAATATTTTCTTTCACTAAACGAAACAAAATGCAGTCAAATACAGCGGTTTTGAACTGCGTGTTTTATTGATGAGGGTACCGAAAAATATGAGTTCTCTAAGGGACACAATAGAAGACTCTCTAAAATTTGTGAACGATAAGACAGAATAGAAGACCCCAGCTCTTCTAATGTGCACGTCCCTTTAGTCTCGATCGATGCATCGATTTTTCTTGGATAATTCACTTATCAGTCGTTTTTCTTTGCCTAGCCTTCTGCAGAACTTGTGAACTTAGCACATCTTCTTTCCTTTCGGCCCTTCTATCTACTTGAAAAATTTGAGTCATCTCTCTGTCTCTAACCCAAAACGTTCTTCACAATTTTGTAGGTATACATCGGTCTTTTATTTATCATTTATAAATAGTATTCCGTCAGAAGCTGAATCATTATTTAATTTACCTGCACGATGGCCATCAACATGTGGTAATGCTAATAACGGTAATCTTCTGTTTTATTCATCGTACGTGTTTTACTAGTATTTTTTCAACGGCTTAGGTTACTCAAAATCACCAGTACGTGGTTTTATTGTTACACCAGATGGTGGCCTTGATAATTTTACATTGGCATTACAAACACCTCCCGTTCATTCACTGGGGGATGAAGTAACAATCAGTTTTAGACCAAAACCAGACTGGTATTACAACGGTACAGAATGTTCAAAGTTCACGGTTGACAGTAATCCAAAAATTATTTTTACAAAAGAGAATTGGAATAAACCACAACGTGTTGATATGACATTTTCGGGATATGGTTGTTGTACATATGAAATTGAAGGTATGGGTGGTAGTTATGAATGGCAGTATCAAGAACAAACATTTGTTGTTTATGGTTGTAATGGAATCGGCGGATATGGTTGTAATGGAAAAGAACCATGTGGGGCTTAAAATGATAGTATGTTTTGTTGTTAAAATAACGTTTTTGAAATAAAATTCACTAGACAAAACTTTCGACATAAACAAACGTTATACTGGAAAGAACCGACTCCACTTCTATTATTAAACGACTCCGATCAAACAAAACTACTGGATGGGCTTGTTTTTTAATCCTTATTGTCGTATTTATTTTATGATAATTAGAAAAACTATACGCTAGAAAAGAATTAGGTAAAGCCGGTTATATAAAAATGAAGGAAAATTTTTTTCCTAAAAATGAACGAATTTACAATTTAATAATTTTTTGAAGCCACAACATGGTTAGCTTGAAGCTGAAGACTATCCGAATGTTAGTGTAGTTATTCTTTATTGCTTTTGCTAATGTTCTGCCACTTTTACTTCACCGTTTGCAGAATTTATTTACTTATCTAATTCTTTTCAACTTGTCTTATACATCAAACCTTCAGCTAATGCTTTAGCACCTCCATGTATAACTTGGTTATTACTTAAATCTAAGCTTTCGAGCGCTTTATTTCTTTTGAATGCTTCCACAATAGTTTAGCCAACGTCGTTGGATATCCCAATATCATTCATAACCAACATTTTCAAATTTTCATTTCTTTTAAGGAATATTATGCAAAAAAAGATCGGTTTCTAAGTTAAAAACCACATATCTACCTGTTCCATGGAAAAATGCACATTGTATCCGCCTCACGGCACACATACAGTCTGCATGAAAAAAAGACTCGTGTAATAAATAATTCATATTTATCTGACAAATAGTACAAAGACATGAAAAAAGAAAAGAAAAGTTCATCGATTTACTTGAAGTATTTTATTTATTTACTCTGTTCGACGCAAAAGCTACTGCGTATATATGTCGTGCCGAAGTTTGTAGAGTTATAACTTGCGACAAACAATTTTACCGAAGTTATTTTAGGCGAGTCAAAACTTAGTGATTACTTGATTGACAATTAGAGATGGGCATCGGGACCAAAAAAATTTTCTGGTCCCGGTAAAAGATTTGATGGCCGTTCCATCACCTTCACGGTTAAAATATCATTTGGCCGTGGATTTTGTAGAGAAATGTTTCCTCTTTCAGATTATATATTCTAAAATATTTCGCGAGTCTCTTTTATCAATCAATTTAGCAAATACATGACCGGGACCAAGATCATCGGGACCGACCGGGACCAATCTGGTTCCGGTCATTGTATTTGTCAAATTAATTCGTAACGAAGGTCTGTGGTATATTTTAGAATATATAATCTGAAAGAGCAAACATTTCTCTACAAAATGCACGGTCAAATGATATTTTAACCGTGAAGGTGATGGAACGGCAATCAAATCTTTTACCGGGACCAGAAAATTTTTTTGGTCTCGATGCCCATCTCTATTGACAATACTATTATCAAAATATATATTTAAGGTTTAATTTTCAGGTTTAATTCAAAAAAAATTAGAACATACATAAAATGAAGATAGTTTGATACATTAGAGGTTATTTATTATCACATGTTGTTGTATGACGACATCGAGAATTACAGAATACATTTAATTATATTTAAGTCGAGTTTCATGTACAGAATACATTTACATCTATTTGTTTTACAACCCTTTACCCCTTTACAATCACATTTTAATATTCCTTGCCCACCATGAATGAATGATGTTGGTACACCTGATGCTTTGGATACTTGCTGATAACTATAATAACCAACTAAAGCACCTTTTTCGGTACCTAATTTGTATTTGTCATGTTTAATTTCCATTATAACAGGATGTAACGATGTTGATGTCAAGTCAACTTTTGGTTCGTGATCAAATAAAACCGAGTATCGACTATGTTTTAATACACGATGATTACACGAATTCTTTTGAAATGGCACAAATCGTAAACCTTCAGACTAGGGGTGACACTTTTCTAGTTACTCAGTAACTTCACTAGTCAGTTACTTCGTTACTACTAACAAACTTAGTTACAAGTTTTACTAGCAACGAGTAACTCATTTCGTTACTAGTAACTAAGTAACGACAGTAGTTACTCGCTACTAGTTACAAGTAAAGTAACGGTAAAGTGCCACCCCATACTTGAGACCATTTTGTACAGTTATTTTCTCCAATCCACGATCCTAGATATACGAAAAAACTATAAATACACATCATTTCTTAAATACAAGAATCAATACATCTCCTAACCAGGAAATTAGCGTTGTTGTTTCTTCTTCTCCTTGAGCCTATAATACCAAATCATTTCTAAAATCGATAAATTTAAAGCTTTTCGGTATCCCTCTCTTCCAAATAACAAATCTTCTTTTTATTCTTCTCTTTCTTTCGTGGAAATAAACTGCAATTCCCAGTACTTTAATTATATTTTCAAAAAAATTGACGCCGTATAAATATATTTCTGAAAAGTTTTTCAAGTCTAAAATACATTTTCTGCCACTTATGGAGCTCACGGTGCATAACCTCACCTTTTTTTTCAAAAAAAGAACGTGCAACTACCAATCTACCTTTCTGTTTATCTACTTCTTTCCAATATTTTGCCTTTCTGTACTGTATTCAACTGACAATGAATAAAGAAAGCCAAAAATCACTCATTAACAATGCTTATTGAACCGTGTTATTAAGCGTGTAGTCACCATTAAAAATACTATTAATATAAGACTGTAATGGGAAATAATATTGGAAGACTGTTGCCATCGTCAAAGCCAAAACATTTAATTCAATTATGTCAGCAGAAAAACTTTCCTTCCATAGGACTTACAGCAGAATCACATGATTATAAAGACAAAGCTACCATCCCTCTTATTTGGCTTGATAAAAATCTTGATGTGGCAACGAAAGATAAGCTGCAGGAATTAAGCAATGATGTTCTGTATTATACTAGACCAGAACCCTGTATTCAACACATTCTGTCGACCGAACGCGCATCACGAATATTTTTAGTTATATCTGGTAGTTATGCAAATGAAATGCTGTCACAAATATCTCGAAATGTCAATGCAATATTTATTTATTGTTTTAATCCATCAAAATACGAACCATTATTAGAAAAATATCCTCGATTAGTCGGTATTTATACGCACTTGAAAGAACTCGTGAAAAGTATTCGAGAAAAGATGCACACAGTCATAGAGCGATCATCACAAGTATTCAGTTGTTATGAATTGAAGCAAAAATCAATACGAGATTTATCAAAAGAATCATTATCATTTTTATTTTTTCAATTAGCAAAAGGAATTCTATTAAAACTGCCTCGAACAGATGATTCAAAACAAAAAATGTTAAATGAGTGTCGGTTCCATTATCAAGATAATGAAGAAGAATTGGCTCTTATAAATGAATTCGAGAAGAATTACACAGCTGCAGATGCTATTCATTGGTATACAAAACAGTGTTTCATATATAAATTAGTTAATAAAGCTCTTCGTACTGAGGACATTGAGCAATTGTATACATATCGATTTTATATCACTGATCTGTCTACTGCTCTTACTCGGGAATATGAAGAATTTAAACGACAGAATCATATTGATTCAATAAAAGTCTATCGTGGAGTGATATTCTGCTCTGGTGAACTTGAAAATTTACAAGAAAATGTTGGAAATTTAATTTCGATGAACGGATTTCTATCAACTAGTCTATCACGTGATATTGCACTCAGTTTTATTCTCGATACATCGTCGAAGAGCAAAGATTCTGTAAGTGTTCTGTTGGAAATTGCTATTGATTTTCGCTTAGAAACGGTCATATTTGCTGATGTATCCAAGTATAGTTTATTTCCAGAAGAGGAAGAAATTCTTTTTGACCTTGATGCATCATTTGAAATTTCAACTGTGAAACAAGAAAAAGATATTTGGACTGTCTACCTAAAAGCGACAGATAGAGGAGGCGACGTAGCTTTTAAATATATAATAGGGAACGATATAACAGAAACATTTTTATTACTTGGAAAATTGGTAGGTGGAATGGGTAAATATACTGCACAGTCAAATGAAGTTCCATTTATGATACTCGATGGTATTAGACATTTACATGGAATAGCTTCTGTTTTCTTTGAGGAGAAAGGAGATTATGACAAAGCATTGGAATTTTATATGGAAGCATTAAAAATGGAAGAGAAATCGTTGCCTCCCTCTCATCCCGAAATAGGTCATAGTCTTCACAATATTGGATTGTGTTATTACAAAAAATATTATTATACACAAGCACTTGAATATCAAATGAGAGCACTTCATATACGTGGAGAGAATTTTGATAATCTTCAAATGATTGGTCTCATTTATTATAAACAGGGCAACTGGGAGAAAGCATTAGAATTCATGAATGAGGCATTAAAGTTTCCTAACAGAAATATGAGTAGTGTTCTGAACACAATGGGTGTTATTTATCATAAAAAGGGAGATTTAATTTCTGCAATGAAATATTATCAGCATGCTGATGCTCGAAAAAATATGGCTGGTATTTACTTTTCTCAAGGAGATTATGATAAAGCAATAGAAATTTTTAAAGATTCAGACCATCCAAATGATATTCATAATCGAGGTCTCATTTATTATCGTTTAGGAGAGTTAGAGAAAGCTCTCTCATGTTTCATCAAGGCACTGGATCTAATGCCAAATGAAGCGACTATTCTTGTTAGTATTGGAAATGTTTATAAAGAAAAGGGCAAGAATAAGAATGCATTAGATTATTATCAACGAGCCATCGAAATACAAGAGAATAGTAAATCATGGGAAATCGTTCAGACATTTAATAATATTGGGCTCATTTATTACACACAAAAGGAGTATAATTTTGCAATGAATTATTTTATGAAAGCTTTGGATTTAGTTGATTTGACTGAAATAATTGATAAAGCACATATTCTGAATAATATGGCAATGATTCATTACCAACAATATGAGTTAGAAACCTCTATCAGCTATCTCAAGAGAGCATTGATTATATATAAGAAAATATTACCTTTAAATCATTCATTCATTAAAAGAACATTGTATAACATCGAGATTGCATGTGAGAAGCAGACTCTAATGGGCTATACAGTTTTATAAATTGAAATAGATTTCGTAGTCGGTTCTGAAGTTACAGGGGGCCCGCTGCTTTTGCGGAGTACTGTAATTATTTTTTTTCTCAACCAAATAATGTCAGTAAGCCGAGAAAACCTCAGGACATATACCTTGAAGTATCCTCTACAAACTGGGAACGTTGGGCGAAAATCTAAATGGGGACTGCCGGAAAGAATTCGATGTTAATATACTTGACATAGAATTGGCTATTATCGGGGATAACTCATTTAAATCTGAATTAAATTGCAGATATCATCGACGACAAGTTGAGATGGACATACAGGCATTGAATTCATCAGATCTATAGCTTTAGCTATACAAGTTGCATATGTATCTAAAACACTTTTCAGGCTATTATCAAATGCTTTGCTAACAGATGCTGATTTAATTGTCCAGTATGCGTTGCAAACGCTTATTCACGTATTTGTTGACATGTTGCTGATACAATGGTACCGGTCGTATTTATAAACATTTTCTAACAGCATTTATCTATTGTTGGTCGGTTATACTAAATTTATTACATCGTGTATTGTACAATTCATAAAATCTAATTGCTTATGTCATTGCGTAATCAGCTGATGTATTAAAACATCTATGTTTTTCTTCCAAAAAATTTGGACGCCAAGTACAGTTTATGTCATCTGGACTAGAACGCTCAGGTGAAATAGTAGAAACTAGCGTACCGCTTGTACTTGTGGTAGGTATTCCTTCATGTAAACAAGACTTATATACAGGACCTTATGTAACGTTGCAGATTTCTAGCATACATTGATAATAACAATACGTAGCTGATGAATCAACACGTTTATATCTTCCTTTCGATTTTTGCGGCATGTAAGCATTAGTTATACGGATGCCACATTGTTTGTTATTGTATGAAGGCGGATTTATTATAACTCCATTAAGGAAACGAGACAAACCACTGGTACGATTACTATCTGTGTGTACGACTACAAGCACACAAAATCAAGTTACGAACAAAAAATACAACAGCATATCCTATTCCCAAGTGTCTTTTTTTAACCTTTACGTAGTAAACAGAGTATGTTAGACTGTCTTTAACAATGTCATTCAATTATTTATACAAGTATTTACGTTTCGAAGAAAAACAGACGTATACTAATGTAGTTTACACACGTATGAAAGAACATTGATCACTAGACAAAAGCGACTTGTACTTATAAAGAGAAAAAAGTTCACATGTATTATGCAAATAAAAACATTCACTTTCTCTCTTGTCATAAGTTGAGTAATTATCAATCATTTGTTTTATAAGAAAAACACAAACCCTTATGATTACATGATACAGAGATGGACTTCGATTTCCGATTATTATTTTGTTCGAATTCAGATTGGCAAACGTTTTTTAATTAAGTAAATAATTAAGTTAAATGCGTTTTGAAACTAAAATAATTTTTGAAAATTAATACAGGGTCTACAGTGGTGTTTCTCAGCTCCTGAATGTGATGTCTTGCAGAGGGAGGTTCACTGACTCACTTGTAGCGATGCGAATTCAACAAAAATCGATCTGAAAGCCTAAAACCGTGCAGTGCTCTAATCGAAAACAAAATTGCTGTGGTTTGAAAGTTGAACAATTGATAAGAAAAATGTTTAAGATGATTCGGTTCTCAGTTCGGTTTTTTAAGCCGTGCAAGTGCTCTATGGCGAGTTTCACGTCAACAACCGAAGAAACCAAAATGATGAGAGTTCACATCACTGCTAGCGAATCAGTGAGACATTTTTTCACGCAGGACATCACCTTTAGGAGAAAGAGTCCAATGTAGACCTTATATTTATTTTGAAAAATTATTTTATTCTTCATCGTTCAAACACTTCTCACTTTAGTTCTTTGTTTCCATGCGTATTTTTTCTCTTATTTTTTGCAGCTTGTCAGTCACAGCCAATTAAACTGGTCTGCGTCTGGGTTACGTCAGAGAAAAACGTCGGGCTTTGGAGCGGATTTCGGGGCTACAAAATTCGACCCTGCTGCTTTCTAGAGAGCAGTGGGATGGTTCTGCCAAAAAAGTTTTTGGGCTCTTCTAAAAAAGATGCTTCTTTAAAGAGCGAAAGACACAAAACAGAAACTTTTCTGAAAGCAGGGGAACGATAACCATCCCCACAATCCCCAGTACGTACGCCCTGGTTAAATTAAATCAATTCCCTTACCGAACGAAAGGGTTTAGAAAAAAATAATATCTGCGTATTAGCGGGTGAGTGGTGTGACCATCTGTATATTTCCCCTTATTAAAATTAATAATCAGTGTGACGCCCATTGGCATTCCTCACCACCTGAATACGGTACGGATACGAACATAAGAGATTTTCGAATAGTTCCACGTTTGATTCCGTATTGGTCAGAACATCTATGAGATGCTTTTCTAATGTCTCTTGCTTATAACGATTCTCGACGGTTTCCAGTAATAGTTTTCGCTCAACTTCCTCATTAATTTTTGTTCCAATGTGTTCAGCGGCATTCAGGTCAGGTGAATTGCCAGGCCATATGTCATTACCCCAAAAAGTGATATCGTTCTCTTTAAGCAAATGTTGCGTCATGTTTGCACGCATGCATGGCGCTTTGTCATGGACAAATACCACCTGATCAAGATCGATTACATTTTCTTCGTCCTTGAGAAATTGACACACGTGCTGCATCAGAATAACGTCACGGAAGTATTGACCAGTCCAAGATTCACCCTTCTCTTTTATTACCCAGTGCAGCTTTTTGGCTGTAAAAATGATGAAAATACCGATGCATGCTTGATTTTTCACCATTTCACGATATCTTTATATCGTCTTCAATATCTTCAATACTTCTTGCCCAAACTCTATCATTTTGATAATTTGGCCTGCGAATAGTCCAGACATAAAATTCATCCGACGGTGCGAGATGGAGAAAATCCTCTTGAGTCCAGTCTCTTAGCCAATCACAAAGCCATAATCGATCCGAAATATGGGTTTCGGTTTTTAAGGGCTTCGGAATAACATGAAATGGTTTCAGTCCTTCCCTATGACGATAATTATCGATTGTTTTTGGTGTAACATATTCTTTGTAACATATTTCTGTCACAAATCGCGTACTACGACGAATTTTATCTGCAATCCACTGTCGAGTAATAAATGTTGCGCCATCATCTCGAGCTTCACGAAAAGCGATACATTCTGTCGAAGATTCTTTGCTATTCTGAATCGTAGGTACCAGCCATTTTCAATTACTTTAATTAACTTCAGTCAGTGAAAGGATCGATTGTTTTTGTCTGTCTTTCTTATATATGTCTCTAAAAGACTACTTTTGGTACAGTTTTTTCAGAGATTTGCTGTCCTTGTTATAAAAATATTTTTCGAACCGTTACAATTTAGTATCAGAAGAACACATTTTTTCCGCGCTTTCATTTGGTATAAAATTCATTATGATTGCTGTTTGTTAGCATAGAGTTACCCCCGTGGAAAAACATTTTTACGCACCCTGTACAGGCAATTAAATTTGTCGATTTACAAATGAATGGTGCATCAAAGTGTTTGAAACAAGAAGAGATACAAATAAATTTTTGTACAGCAGCAGTCATTTATTTAATAAATGACTGCTGCTGTACAAAAATTTATTTTTATTCGCTTGTTGGCTCTAAATCGTAATCAAGGAAGAGATATATTGCTGCGATTCAACTATTGTCGTCAAAAGTTGTTTTGGCGAAGAAACATTAACTGTATACACATATGGACATCGTTTAAGTGATAAAGAAGCGCAACTTATATCTATACTCAATGTTAATTTATCAAATAACGATGCATATTTATTATATTGGATATAACAAAAGATGAGTATTGTCATAGTTTAGTACAAAATATGTATGGTTATGCCAATTCCTACATAAAAACATTAACAAAGTATATTTTTAATTGGTCTGAACAGCAACAAAAGAATTAAATGTTGCAACAATTAATAGCAATGTTAGCAAGAGCGAAGAAAAATTAGATTTTTTAACTGTAATTTCTTTTTTATTTGTAATAAATGTGAGTGAATATGAAAGTAAAAATAGGATCTATATTAGTATGAGAACTCTCCACCTGTAATGCACAGCAAAAGAATTGTTGTGGATATAGCACTTGTCATTCTGAACAAATTTTTTTCCAATATTAGTATTGAAGCGAAATCCATCGAAATTTTTTCCTCTAAAACGTTCACTTCTCACTTCAATTGAGATGCACGAAAAGCAGACTTACAGTGGAATTTATTTTTCGACGTTCTGTACACCATTCGATAGAGAATTTGAAGGCGATCACGAATATGTGTTTCCTGATTATTCTGAGTCTTCTATCCCGTCGAATAATCCGAGAAACTCCGAAGGAGTCAAAAATCTGATTTTTCGCCTCTACTTTTAAAGCTGAATTTTCCAGGTTCCGTTACAACTTGGACTATTCAAACTAATATATTCTTATGCAGCTTTGAAAACTGAATTAGAAGGTGGCCTGAAAGCCAGGCACATCGAAAGCGAACTAATCAAAAAACTCCACCCGATTTTGCAAAGTTTTCACAGGTTTTTCTTGAGATGCTAGAGCCAATATTTTTAGATGACTTGATTCGCTAGACGCTAAGCTAAAAAGTTATACGCGCAGATTTTTGAAATTCCTTTTAGTTGCTGAGAAAAATCATTTTTTTCCGAAAAAGTCGGAATTTTGCCTGTAATTCCCAATTTTCTCGATCAAAACTCAACTTTTGAGCAATAAGAATATCAAATTTAGGATCAGGATCAAAAACTGAGTCGAATGACGTGTATTTATATCCTGTCTGACTACTTTGATGTTTTTCGAATTTTTACGGTGAAAAATTACCGACATTTTCACACAAAACTGAAAATCTACTAAACATTTCGAAATACACATCAATCGACTCAGTTTTTGATCCTGAACCGCTATACCGGTTTAGATAGCATGAAGCTGTTATCAAGTGGCACATCGTAGTTCATATTCTACAGAGTAGGGTACTGGAAGAGAAATTTCAAATGGAGCTAATGCAAAATATTATTATGTTAATAGCATTCCATCGGAAAAAACATTCAACGAATATTAGCTGAGAAACTTCATGGTATATAATAGACTCATTGATCTTTCTTCTGAAAACCATGAGCAAGAAGTGAACAACTGTTTTCGTTTTATCTTTTCTTCTTTTGACTTAAAAAGATTTCATGGTGACTCTCTCTCTCTTTCTTCTTCTTTGTTCTTTTAGCAACAAAAATCGAATGTTCAATGGTAACAAAAAAAATTTGTGGATATTAGAGTTCTTATTAATAAGCATGCAGAAAAAAGCAAAAATATAGTCATGCTTTTAGTAAAAGCAAATAAACAGACAAATATTATTCAAATAAGATTATTAAAAAAGAAAAACGAAAATAAACATTATAAAACCATTTTTGTACGCTTATTAAAAATCATCAGCACGCTAAAAAGGACAGTAGTTTTAAATCCATATTGACAATGACTTATATCTAAAGAAATATTCTATTAAAAACGGTTTATTATGTTTTGTTACAAGCATTAATTTTAATTTTTCTATTTGATCAATATGATCATTCTTTGCTCATGATATTAAACATTCATTCATATAAAAGAAATGTAATTTTGATAATTTTTCAATATACTCCGTTATTATAGATGTACATTCATCATAACTGAGATAATAAAGATTAATTAATTGTAGAGTTAACGAAACTAAATTTGGAAATAATTTAGCGACTATATTATTATTATTTTGTCTATTAAAATAATTTTCTTTTTGATTTATTTTTAGTATTAAATATTTTATTTTATAGAAAGAAGAACAATAATAACTATCTGGTAATTCAACAATATCTCTTATATTGATAGATAATTTCATAATAAATGACATTTTTATTAATAAATATTTCAGAACTTTCAATTTTGAGTAATTTAAATCTAACTGATCGATACTAAGTAACTGCTGAAGTTGTTGTTCTTGCTCTTGATCGATAATGACATTATAATTATCACATGCCTTAAATAAAAAAACAGGCAAAAAAATACGAAGTGTTAATCTTTGTTTTCAAAGAAAGGCTTTTCATGTATACACATTGCAATACTGCATATTGTATATGCTTCACTGGATCTGACAACTTATAAGAATAAGCCTATAAACAAAACTTAATATGACAGGTCCCTCTAGCAAATCTGCTATTCAATTCCAACAGACAAAATTCTCACGTCACGAGCAGACCTGCGCAGGTGTAGGGAGCATCGTAGCAGACCTTGAGCGACCTTCGACAGATACTATTATATACCTCTGCCATTATGTTTTTTACAGATCTGGACAGATCTCGTGTGAGAATTATGGTTAGTGGAATTAAATGGCTTGCTTATTAGCAGGTCTACCTGTTGAATTTTTGTATAGGGAATGGACGCAGCCGAATATTGTATCCTATCCGCGACTACGTTAATGATTCTAAATTCAGGAAATCGTCTGAATAAACCCATATTAGATCTAGCGCCAACACATCGGCATTTAATCCCAGTAGCTCACTTTGTAGAACACGACGAACTGAATCGAATGGCATAACTCCCTAGTTTTCTTAAAAAAGACTTACTGTTCTTGTATTCCCCGAGTGGAACAGTGCCCTTTTCGTTTTACTCAAGAGATTTGCCCTCCTTTGTAAAGCATCGACTGATCGCATTCTCTACCTTGAAACTTACAGTTTTCATTGGTGTTGTATGACCGTATCGCAATCTCATCATCAGATAAAATTAGAACTCATCACCAATATAATGCACCAAATTCCCCATTGCAGCATCTGCCTAAAACTTTACTTTTTATTGTTCTAGAACGCCCCGTACATCATTTGGAAACTTCTCACACTTCACGCATGCACGGGTGTTCGAAATTGTTTGCACATTTTTTATTTTGCCAATATCTCAGCACAGTCAAATGATAAAACCTTGATTTTGCTTTTAGAAGATGTGCCGTCGAATTTTCTACAGACTTCTATTAATCTTAACTTAAAACAACATAACTAAACGTTTTTGTAGGTCACATAGTGTGATTGCATGAACTGCATCTACTTCTCACACATTTTTACTAAAGTGTTAACGTTAATTAAAAAAACGTACAAACATTATTCTTCGAATCCAACATGGACGTCGAGAAAAAGTATTTTCTCATGTCCAAGGCTCACAAGCATTGACTTCTATTAGGTGAACTGCGAACGAACATACGAGGCAGTGTTTCTATAGAATCATGTCTTGTAACTCATGGAGATAGAATATACGGCGTAGAGGTGCATAAACATTTTTTGTATAATATACCTTTCTATACATTCGTACAGCGTATAATTCGTTTTCCATATTTGGTTTAAGCTTTAATCTTGAACCTGAACAAAATCGAGAATATAAATTCCCATTATATCATTCTAAAACTTAAACTATCAAAACACAAAATCAATCCTTGTACGAAGCTAGGATCGAACACACGAACTTGATCTGTGCAGACGAACTGCAGAAATCAACTTCTCTGTACTTTTCTATATTCTGTACAATGATTGAAATTGTGCAATGACTCGATGTTTTACTTTGAGTAGAAGTGCAGGAGCCGATTTTATGTCGAAACGCGGTCTATTTTCCTAAAAAATGCGTTTCTAAAATAGTACAGCTAGATCCGGTTCGCTTCAGAAAAAGAGCTGACCGTACTACTCCGCATCCGGCTCTTCCTCCATCACGGGGCTAGTCCCACTAGCATAGAAGACTAGAAAAGTCTCCGAGCCTTTCAAGTAACACTCTTGCAGGGCGTTTTCTCGGACTTTCAGAAAATCGTTTTTCTCTCACTCAGTGATAGAGTACATACAATTTTTAAACTTCTACCTGAGCTGATAAATATAGATGAAGTATTTTTAGATTTTTGAATGAATTTAATGTATAAAGTAGTATTGACACATTATTTAAAGTATAATGCCACTCAATTTTTTTCACGTGTTCAAACAATAATATTTTGTTGCAAATATTACTACTTCTAATTCTATTTAAAATATATAAATTATTTAATGATAATTGATGTTGTTCATCATCATTGATTTCATGTTCTAATAAGCGTGATTCATTATAACCAATGTTGCTATAAACATTACTAATTCATTACCTGCAAAATGAATGTCACACAGACATAAAACAGTCGCTGTCCGTACATACTTGTGAAGGACGTCCAGGCAAACAGACAATGATTACGCTGCAACATCTAAGGTGGCAAGTCCACGCGAAGGAGAGCAAGATCAACAGGACGTCAATCGTTCAAACTCAATCAAATTCACATGTTTCAATTCAAAGAAAGATTGCATCAAAGAGCTAAATACATCTTCGCCTGTCCTTTCAAGGTTTAAAAAGTTGTAGGCGTTGCAAGTAAAGCCGCTAGAAGACATGGGAAAAGCGAAATTTTGCGAAAAATATATTTTTTCTGCGAAATGAAAAACATAAGACTCATAACATTTGTGTGATAGATTCTGAGCATGCTAGACTATGTTTTCTGTGAATTTTATAGTTAGAAAATATTTGTGCCACCCATATATGCTTCAAAGAAATTTCTAATTTTTTTTACACTAATAAATGGGAAAAGTGAGTTTTTTGCCATTTGAATCAGTTTTTAATGTTGTATCTGAAAATATGATCAACATTTTGTTAAATGTTTTTTTATAAGACGAAACTGAAAAGCTGAACTTTTTGAAAAAAATGTTTAGAAAACCAAATATTGAAATCAACTTTTTGAGTTTATCAGAAGATAGAAGAGATGATTATTCTTAGAAAAGATCGCTTTCATAAGGTCTACTACTTTTCAATGCAGGATGACATTTCTTCGAAACATCCGTGTGTATAACCTTTTATTAATGATGAGAACTCCGAGAAGTAATTTTTGCGGTCTCCCAAAAATTTATATCTTTTCATCGAAAAAGCATGAGTTAAAAAGGCAGAAGTGATCTTCTGATAAACTTAAAAACCAATTTCAATATTTTTGGTTTTCTGAAGATCTTTTTCAAAAGGCTCGGCTCTTCAGCTTCGTCTTACAAAGAACATTTCACAAAATGTTGATCATATTTTCAGATACAACATTAAAAACTCGTTCATGGCAAAATACTCACTTTTCCCATTTGTTAGTGCAAAACAAATTAGAAAATACCTTGAAGCATATATGGGTGGCACAAATATTTTCCAACTTTAATTTTCACAGAAAACATAGTCTGGCATGTCCAGGACCTATGACATAAATTTTACGGGTCTTACATTTTGTCATAGGATAGAAAACGAAGTTTGTTGTAAAAACTCGTCTTATTTGCCTTCTGCAGCATCTTCACTTGCGACACCAAACACTTTAACTGTAAAAGGAAAGAATCTTAAAGCGTAAAATTTCTTGATAATGATCTATTCTCAATGTGAACTATCTATGCATAAAAATTTCAGCTCGATCTGTCGGTATCAGTCACCTACCTGATCCCATTAAATAATAGCTCTTTACCTGATATTAAATAGCAAGTCTTAATTATGAAATTTGCTTTTTTAAGATTTTTTCATGGCAATTAAAATATACGTACATGAATCATTTTTATTCGTAAAAATTTCCATTAATAACAATATTTCTAAGTGTTTGGCAGATATTGTAAGGCAATACTTAAGGTCTCACCCCCCCTCCAAAAAGTCGATTTTCGTCAAAAAAATGGATTTTGAGATAAACACATGGGCATGATGCTTGAGTTGTCTACTTTACAAATCCGTAAAGATATTATTGAATCTCTAAGTTTTTTATGGATTTTCGTAAAAAAACTTAAGTTAGTTGGAATTATTATTACTTATATTTATATAATATTATAATTATTATATACAATAGCGACCAATAGGTGACGCCATCTATCGCGGGATACGTCGCGACAACCATGGTGCAATGTGGTATGACGTGTATTTACCATTGACATGCAATTCTTGCATTTTTATGTTGGTTGCAGATAATATTCACAAAAAAAACTTGTTTACCGTTTTTCTCAAAACCGAGTGTTTTGTAAAATATCAGTCTCTGAACAAATTTTTCTTCACTATAGTTTATTCTATTAAACTGCGGTTTTTTTTACTTGATAGATAGATATATCCTTCTTCAGATGACGAGAAGGAATTTTTTATTTGACTCTCAATCTATGAGCAATCGGGTATTTTATGAAAAATCCTACATAGGGTTTTCAGAACTTCAAAGTTTTGTAGATCCCACCAAAGAAAAATCAATCAAATCAAAAAATCAAAATTAAGAAAACCCTTTCCCTCATCTGAAGCACCAAGGAGTTCTCTTTCAAATGAGACCAGCCCGAGCGCTCCATCTCGAAGCGTATCGGAAAAATCCTTGTACGCGCGGGATCCCCATTTTGCCCCTTAGTACCTGTATATCTCTCGAACCGAAAGAGCTAGAGCCATGAAAATTTTTTTACACTTGTACCTTTATGGGTCAAGCATCTGTAGAAATTCTCCATGCTTGATCTTATCGCAGTTTCTAGAAATTCTTAAAACTTCGAAGTTTCGCGGGTTTTAGTAAGAGAGATAATAGAACAAAGAAATTATTTATTATTTATTAATTTAATACAAGTTGTTTCCAGGGAACAAAACGAAAAACAAGTTATAATTGAAAGTAAATTTCGATTCTTTACGGCTTCTCGTCAATTTTCAACTTCAAATTCAGACTTCTTCTCTCCTTCTTCTTCTCGTTCTCTCTCACATTTATAGAGAGAATTTTTCTGATTAATCTTCAAATTCACACTATCTCTTC